GCTCTGGTCACTGGGCAATTCTTTCTACAGTCATCTGCTCACCTCCTGTAGCAAACCTCTAAGTCTACCTAAGGATCAAGTCAATTTTGTTATTCTAAGACAAATATTGTGGTCAGCGTGCATCTCCAAGTGCTGCTCTATTCACAGCCATCATTCTCTTGTGCAGATATTTAAGTAAAGATAATGCACTCACTCTTCTCTGGCATGTCCATACATAAATCTTTCCCCCCAAATGCTTGAATATGCACTCAGACTTCACATGTCTCAAAAAGCTTTCTTTACCTTAAGTTCTTATTTTCATTCCTTCTGGAGCTATCCACTTACTTACTGGTCCAACCAGCATGTGTGCTTGCAACAGAATGCTGACTGAGACCAGTGGGAGTTTTCAGCAGGCCACAGCTTTCCTAAACTGATACTACAGCATTTAGTACCAGTTATGAGCTTTTACCAGCTGTTAATCAACTCTCTCAAATAGATGAGTAGCCCTCACTTTTTCTCTACTTCGGCTATACCTGCAGCCTTGTATTTACACTGTACAAACTGACTCACCTTTTTGTTGCTCTTAAAGTGCACAGCAATAAAATTCGATAGCACGCTCACAGCTCTACATGCGTCACACAAACTAGCTTAAGGTTTTATCAGGAATGGAACAATAATTGTTCTGTCTCTTTACCAGATCCAACTCTGTAATCTAATAAATTAATTCAGAAACAAAAAGTTTTTTGCAGCTTTCTTTTGATAGAGATGATGAAAAAGCTCTCTCACTTTTCTATAATACATTCATTGTCAAGAGGAATCCAGGATGCTACGTATCTTTAATCCTCTCATTGCCTGCCTTACCACAGCCCACCTGCCCCAACCTCAACAAGGACAGCCACGCTCCAGTCAGGCTCCTTAATCATGCTGCTGTGGGTCAACCCCGCTTCCAGATGCCATTCTCAGCCCTGAATCACCCCATTAAAGGCTAATCTGTCACACCATCACAACTACTGCCCTCATTTTTAAAGTCCTTAACATTCTAACCCACTCCTAACTATCATCCCTCACCAAGTTAGTACCTGGTAAAGTGTCACCTTCAGCCAGCCCCTGAAGCTGCACTCCATTACCCATTACTTTTTATTGTCATTATGAATATCTGAAGCTGACAACTCTTCAAAGTTTCTTGCTCTTCCTTTGGAGTCACAAATGCAAACTTCAGACAACACCAAATTACTATGCCTTCACAGCCTGATTTGCAAAAATGTAAATGTGATAATTAGCAACAGAGGTCACCTATCACTGTTGGTAGCTTTCTTCCACTTGTTTTATGCAAACATCTCAAATGTGAATTAATGCATTTAGTTATTTGAAACCACAGACATTATTTCGTTACACTGGAGTCCTTCTGCTATTTTCTCTCCAACAAGGTAACTCACTCACATTCACAGAGAGCCCACCCAAACTCCCAGTGCTTCAACATAAGCCACAACTGGAAGTCTTCCACTTACTGTTATGCACTAGAAAATATACTAATGGTAGAAAGCTTTTATTGATGAGCACAGCAAGCAACAGAGATGAAGCATTAACCCACCAAGGCTCTTCTCTGCTGTCTAGAGCCATTTTCTTCCTAGTTTGACTTCTGCCATAACTAGATACATACCCTTAAACTCTAGCAAGAGACAGTGAGGTTTAACCCACTGACTCTTACTATCTTTAAGTACAGATGTTTCTGAATACCCTTCTGGATTCAGACCATAATTGTTAATTCTAGAAGTGGGATCTGTCTCAGCAGTATTCATAGCAGCACTTATTTTGAAATTTAAATAGCAACAACAGCTACTCCTATCTATTATCTTTCAAAAGGATTGACCGAAAAAGAAGGAAAATCAGGACATTCATTTTGTTCTGAAAAGCCTGCATATTTTTCCTCCTCATTCTTCAAGAGACTGGTAGATGAGAATGTCTTGATGCACACAAGCCCAATTTGCATTTATTAGCCTTATAATTTCCACCCTGCCTTCCAGTAGCTGGGCACACAAAGAAGAATGTGAAAATCACTAAAACTGCCAACACTCTGTAAGCTATTCCTCTCTAGCATGTCTCACCCTGAGCTCTCCAAGTCCCATGAAAGCCACCACGCAGTCAGCTTCTCTGTGATCTTTCTGGTTCAAAGCAGGAATAGCCCCTGCCCCATACCCTCGCTCTGAACACCTGGCAGCTGTCCCAGAGAAAACCTGCATGGTACTTAACGCTGACAAAGCCAGCAGCAGCCTCTCTCTGTGCCTCCTCCTCCAGGGCTGAAGCACGGCACAGACAAGGCCTGCCGCCATCACATGCGGCGAGGAAGGCCGAGGAGCACTGCCTGTGTGCAGGCCTCAGCAGCTGAAACTTGGCTTCTCCAAGCTTGTTCATCCACAAAATTGTCTCCTAGAGTAGAAGGAAAAACAACCACCACCATTTGTAAGCACAGCTCCTCAAGGAGAGGACACGAGGGAGTCAAACCACACATTTACATCAAACATTTAAACTCATTCTGAAGTTGGTTTTGATTGCAGCTGGTACTTTCCTAGATGCCACCGTGAGTTCACTTCGTAACAATTGCAAGTAAAACACAGAAGAAAAAAAATCGCACTAGGTAAAATACTTTCTGTGCTTTATCTCCAGTTGCATCTGGGGTATTCCTAAGCAATCCACATTTCTGTGGTATTGAGATGTCAGACAGTTACAATGATTCATACGAAGATGACCACAGAGAACTCCTCATTTTTTGCATGTTCAGGTTTGTTCCTTTCCTCACTCCAGATCTGACAGACGGTACGGGTTGCAACACACTGTGAAAACATCACTTCATCAGTGTCCCTAAAGCAAACTCTGTGACACGGCCGCATTTGCTCTCAAATTAGCCTGAGCTCCGCTGACAGGCGTGACTGATCACATCGTTCCCTGCAGCCCTGAACAAAGCCCGAATGTTCGCTACCCAAAGGCGCCATTCTTTGGGGACTCCTTTATTTGCCCACACAGGATTCTCTTGTGCACAGACACAGAAACCAACAGCCAACATTGGATTCTGTGAATCATCCAAACCTATGCACCAACCTACAGTCATACATTTTTTATGCAGTAACAAAACAGTTTCACAGCTCGGAGCGTTAACCCACAGAACCCCTACTGCTCCCACTAATCTCCTGACACAGCCACTCAAACCCTTCTTGCTCAAGATACAAAGGCAGGAAAACAATGATGAGGAATCCTTCCTGATCCTCACTCACTGAGGATTCACGTCAGGTAACGTGAATGCTCAGATGAAAATGAACAATTGGGTGATGCTTCCATTCTGAATTATTTTTTTCTTCTGGTTAGCCAAAAACTAATCGATTAAAAAATAATAAGATAGCCAAGTATTAACAGACTCCCTTGGTAAAATCAATAAGATTTGAAAACTGTTCTCTGGTTTTGGCTAATGACAGAGGTTCAGTATCAAGGCTGTTCTCCTGCCCTCCATATCAGTGAAACTCATCTTTGTTTCCTACCTCAAGGACATTTTATTCATTTTCTGGGTATTTTTAGTTGGACTTTCAAGCACTGCACATTAACCAGAAAACTGATTCACAAGAAATGGGTTAGGAAATGTACCACTGAATTCTACATAATCAGTACTTCTCTTTAAGAAAACTTTAATTTGTATCTCATGAGTAAAATTAATGTGTCCAGACAGACAGTAGTAGGGCTTGCCAGTCATAGCACCAGGGAAGTGCTCCTTACGTTCTTGTTGCAACTAAGCAGAAGGCACGAATGTTAAAGACAGTATCCATTTGAGAGGCTTGTGCTGAAATTGGGTCACAACGCTTGCTAATCATCACCTCAGGACACTGCAGGGAGCAGTGAAGAAACGAAATGGAGCAGCTCAAAAAATACCAAAAAGAAGCACACTAGCTATCAGCTTGTCAATATTACACATTATCAACATTCACTGTATCGTCCAAGGGATAGTTTCCAATGGAAACCTGTACAGGCTCCACAAACCAACAAATAAAAGCCGCTTGACCGGAACCACACTGGTTTTGTGCTGTTGACAGTTACTCCTACAAACACACAGAATCCTTTGTACAAGCACAAAGGCTGAGCAGTGCATTGCCCCAATGTGCTCAAAGCTACAGATGCGGGGGAGAAGGGGGAAGCACGCCAGGAGGAATGCTGCTGCCATGCAGATTCAGGCAGGAGTGGGATCACCCAGCAGTGGACAGCTGGCAGCAGGCACCCTCCTGCCTGAACTTCACACCCTGATGCACCCAACACCTTCCTACAGGCCATTAACATGTACTGTAAGAGCAAATTGAATGAGTCGCCAAATAGCAAGGAAAAAGCAATAAGAGAGAAAGGAAAAAAAAAAACCAAACCCATACTAAACCAATGCTTTTCCTACAGCTGAATAGAGAGGAGGAGTCTGATAGCGTCTCAGAGCACTGTAAGTAAAGCAGCACGCAGTACTTTGCGTTCTTGTGACATGCTGGATATCCCCCAGCTCCTCTGGGTGCTGGGCCGGCATTCTATTAACATTACAATAACCTGGTTTTTAAACTAAAAAGCACATCAGGTCACATTTAAATGGAAATCAACTCGTTTAACTCATGGCAGGAGATCAGGGCCCCCGTTCCATTCCCTGCGTTCTGACGTTCGCACGTACCGCCGGCTCCAGACCGGATTACCGTGAATCTCCGCAGAGACTTCAGCCAGACACCCCATCAAAAGGCCCCATTAACGAGCAACACCCAGCATAATTCACACGCTCCCATTTTGCGAACTGCGCTCCGCAGCCCCGACACCTCTATCTATCCTGGGAAAGCCGGCGCCGGTGAACGCCGGCGGATCGCTTCCCGAGCGACGGCAGGCTGCGCCCCTGCGCCGGCCAGCTCGACTTTCTTTTCGGAAAGCAAGCTTTATGCGCAACCGCATCTATAGGCAGCCCGGCCCCCGGCCCCGCACGCACCGCGCCGGCAGGACCCCCGTCCCCGCGGCCTTACCTGCGGCGGGCGGCGCGCGGCGCGGCTCGGCCTGCTGCAGGGTGACGGCCCCGTCCCGCCACACGCGGAGGTGGGCGGCCGCCCCCAGCCTGCTCGCGGGGCTCTCCCGGCGGCGGGCCCGCAGCCAGGCGCAGCACTGGTAGCAGACGGCCCACGCCTGCTCCTCGTTGATGGGCTGGTTGTAGAGCCGGAGGATCTCCTCCAGCGACAGCGCCTCCGGCTGCCCGCCGGCCCCGCCGTCCTCCTCCTCGGCGGCGGCGGCGGAGGGGCGGGAGGCGCCGGGCTGGGGCTCCGCGCCGCGCTCCCCCGGCAGCGCCATGCCCCGCTCCGCAGCCCGGGCTGCCCGCGCTGCTCCTCGGCTCAGGCCCGGCCGCTGCCGCTGCCGCTCGCGGTGTCGCTGCCGCTGCTCGTGGTGCTGCCGCGCGGTCCCGCCGCGCTCATCCTCCCCGCCCCAGCAGTGGCAGCAGGCCGCCGGACAGCCCGGCCCAGGCAGGCGGGCGGGCAGCGGCCGGCCGGCGGGAGGAGCGGCGCCCGCCGCTGCCGCCGCCGCAGGGGGCACAGCTCATAGCAACGCAATGGCGTCCTCGCCCGCCCCCGCCGCCAGCGGCCGCCGCTCGGCGCCGCAGCGCCCCCTGCCGGCCGGGCCCTGCCCTCCTCGTCAGGCGCGGACGAGCCTGAGCCGCGGGGCCGCGGGATCCGCGCAGCTCCGGCGATAAACCCCCCTCCGACGTTTAGGAACCGCGCGATCCTACAGCGCCGTTGGTCGGGTTTCGCAGAAAGCGTCGGCGGACTGAGCGCCGCGTTCGAGCTGAGGGAGGGCCGCGGCTCCCGCGCAGTACCCGCAGCCGGAGCCCTGCAGCTCCCTGCGCGGAAGGAGCCGGGCCGGCCAACGGCACCGGAGCCGGCGGGGGTCCGCAGGCACACGAAGGCCTGAGAGCACCTTTGTGTGCGCTGCCCACGGCCGGAGCGGCCTGCCACGCAGTGAGGGAGCTGACAAGAATGGGCCCGAGTGGGAGGCCATCAAGGATGATGAAGGGCCCGGAGCATCTCCTGTATGAGGAAAGGCTGAGTAACCTGGGACTGTTCAGCCTGGGGAAGACCGAGGGGATTTGTTCAGTGTTTATGAATATCTAAAGAGAGATGGGTGGCAAATGGATGAGGCCAGGCTCCTGGCGGTGGTGTGTAGTGATAGGACAAGGAGTAACGGCCTAGAATCTGAATGTAGGAAATTCTGCATTAACATGCAGAAGAACTTCTTTACTCTAAGGGTGACAGAGCACTGGAACAGGTTGTCCAGAGGGGCTGAGGAGTCTCCTTCTATAGAAATATTCAAGGCCCATCTGGACATCCATCATTTGACCCAGCTGCAGTTTTACCAAAGGCAGTTAGACATTCCCTCTCTGTCTCCCCTTCCTAAGAGATATGAGGCTGGTAACTTACACAACAGAATTTTGCGGTGCCCCCATCTGTACAAGCAGAGTAGCACACAGTGGGCAGGCAAGATACAGCCTGGTCACAAAGAGCCACACACCGGTCCCTACTTTGCTTTTAACTGTAGTGAACATGCTTTTTGCCCTCTTGTATTTTTACACACGGGTACAAGGGATACCACTGTAACTGAGACACAAGCAGTATCTAAACAAGATATTGCGTTAGTCCTATCCCGCATCCAATGCAACCCAGCCTTTCAACATGTACTAGATACAATGAAATCAAGGGAGAAATTGTATTTATTTGCCTGTTACACAGTGTAAAACACATCTTGACATAGTTATTTAATGGTCCACAGGCGCAGCATGTGTTGCAAGCTTCTCAAGTATTATTCATGACTGTTTAGTTCAGCACCAACCGAATTATCTGCCAAGCAGAATAAAGAAGGTGGACACAGGAAATCGAAGACAAAGAGTAGCTTCTATAGAAGCAGTTAACTTGTTTCAATTTAGCCTCAGGAAGTGATAGCTAGAGTTCCCACGGTAAAAAACATGGAAGGGAGGGCACAGTTGCCATTTCTCAAAGCATAAAGGGTAGAGGACACCCATAAAAATCATCCATGTGTTTAAGATCATCAAAACCACAGACAGATAATTAGGTATGGATGGGAGTATGAAAATCTGACAAAATCAGGACTGGTTATTAACCTAAACAACTTCTAACTCAAAAGCCTACTAAGTTTGACTGTCAAAAACCACAGAGTTGTGTAGAGAAGAACCTCTACAGGTCTGTTTTTTGTCCCTCCAATCATCCACTACCTTTTCAGGAAAAAGGGATGAGGTCAGACATACATTATCAAACCCAGCACAGCTATTAACGTGTTCAGGTGTCCAAGTCTGGTTTTTAAACATAAAAAGCCATCATAATTTGTTGCATTATAACAGTATTACTTATAGCTGACTGCCCTTAGAAGCTATTGCTAGCCCCAAAAGAGGCAGAAATAAGTTTCCAAGGAAGCATAAATGAACTTCAGTAACTGCGGCTCTCACTCATTCATAAAGAACACCCTGGACACCACTGACACAGAGATAAAACAGACTATTTTCTAAATTAGTTCTCACATTAATTCAGAACTGTGAAAGAGAAACCAATATTGTACATATGCACTTTAATAACTTGACCAACATTCCTGTAAGTATTAAAAGTAGCTTTTATTAAAATAAAGTTCTCTGTATAAATATAATCATTACTGTGTACACAATTCATTTCACTACAAACACACCGCCACATTCAAAATCAGTGGCATTATATAAAGTACAATATTTGTTCAGTTGCATAACTTCATATGCAAGTACCTTATTTTGCACATCTAGAGAGGTATGAATTATTTTGCTTTTCAGAGGACACAGCGATATTTACAAGCAAACATGATCCAAACGGCACATGCAGATTCAGGGTATGCAAACACACGTACACGAACAGCAAGTCGCACCTGGTCACCCCTACAACAGATTATTTCTTCACAAAAAGGAGACCTGTGACAGAAAACAAGAACAACAAATATCACCAAGCTGTTCTTTAAATTTTCAGTTACACAATTATTTGAAACTTGCTTGACAGTTAACTACGAGCATCCAAGGTTGGCTGAACCAAATAAGAAATACTGTTCTGCAGTGGAACGGTTGTTGTGTTGGAGAAGAGCAAGATTACCAATAGCCACTTTCAACAACTGCAGGAAAACTAAAATAACTGTATTTCAAGGAGAAAAAAAAGGCACCTTTTAAATTTAATCCACTAGAATTTTAATTTAATCCACTAGAAGTCTTTCAACTTGCCTAATTCAACACAAAAACTGTACCCTGTGACTCATTCATTATGTATACCACAGACTCCTATCAGTTCTAACTTTAGGAAACTGGTTTTCTTTAATACTTCACTACAACAAAAAAAGCCACAATTCATAATTAAGCATTACTACTTGGTATTTGTATATACGTAGCCTTACCGAAGACATGTGGCAAATGCTCTCCTTGCATTTCTGTACACAAAATGGATTGGAAACCCTTTAAACGTGTGACCATCAGGTACTGCTCTCCTTACAGCATCCTGAAACTCCTCATTTCCTGCAGAAATACCCGTTGCACGTTCAAGCTCGTAGGCTGCTAACGCTGGTGACAATAGATAGGACAGATGGTCATCCCAAACAGTAGAAAGGCCAAGATCCTGCAAAGCAAATCACAGCATGATGACAACCATGCAGAAAAAAATATTAGGATATTACTAAGTTTTAAGTTTGGATACTGTATAGATTCAGAAAAATCTATGAACAATCTTTGACTTGTAGTTCTTGGAAGTGAATCTGTGAAGCAGTAAAATATACACACCAAGTCAGAAGGATCAAGAATCAAACACTACAAACAAAATACCAAACATTTATCAAGAAATTAAATCAGACAAGATTAAAACAAGACTAGCAGAGCAGAAACTGGATGTTTTGGCTACAGTGTCTTTGAAAGAAGTGTAAGACTACAGTGCTAGTTCATAAACAGACAGTAGAAATATAGAAAAGATCAACTAAGATTCACTTCATATTTTTCTAATGTCTCTTGGAAGTTCACTTCAAAAAACAATGGACAAGTTCCCAAAAGAATGAACACACACACACACACTTTCCTACTCCCATTCCACAAGTGCAAACTTCTATAGTTTATGAGATTCATACTCTGAGAATCATTTTCCACACTAAGTTTGAGCTTTAGATAGTAAGAGAGCAATCAAAAAAAGATAGTAAGGGGGGGGGAAAGGGGGGATGGGTGAGGGGAGAGAGGGTTGTATAGAAGAAGAGAGAAAGGGAGGGAGAAGAGAAATCCGGATTAAGGAAGAAACTAACTTCCAGAAATACCTGCTAATTTCCTAAAGCATTCAAAGTAAAACTGTGACAGCTGAAATCCTGCTTCTAATGAGGGACAAATAAATAAGACTGTGATGGATACACTCAGGTCATCGACAAACAGACTTTATCTTCTTAGTTCTTTCATAGAGCACTTATAAGTAGCCTGTAGATGCCTGTAAGCTAAAAATCATGCTTCTCAAAACAGAGCCAAAGGCAGGATGGGAGGAATAAGACCACGAGACTGCAGAATTGCCACTGCAAATACTAAGTGTGACATCGAAACTAGCTCTGTACAGTCACGCCAAATGGTTTTTTTTCAGTTGCTTCAATTTTAACACACCGCATTTCCGCAAAAGCTGATGGAGAACACACTGCAAAGATTTAAGTATTTACATTACAAACAGCTGTTCAAAACAAGTACACAGTAAAAACGTGATTTGTTAAGGTAATAAAGGCGCAATGAGAGTTTTTGAAGATTACCTTCCTGTGTTCTGAGACAAGTATTCTCAGTTGCAATTCTAAATCGTTGCTTGTCACTGCTGCATCTATTGCAGAAGCACACAAAGGAGGAAAAGGGGGAACTGAAGATGCAGTTCCAGGAGAACACACAGATTTTATTGCTTCTGCACTCATGGGCTTCCATTTAGACTCATCGTGTAAGTCAAACACACAGACCTCCACTGCATCAGAGGGCTGACAGTTTCCGTAGAACTTCTGATGGTTGAAGACACAACCTATCGTGCGATAAGGATACAACGGCTTGGGCTGTTCAACTATTGGAGGGTCATCAGGGTTGATAGGTCTGTGAATGTACCTGATTAAAAACATCCAATTTTTTATTAGTACACTTTGTATTTTAAGTTACACTAAAAATACTTCAGTAGGACAGAAGTCATTTCTCCTTTTAAAAACATAACCTAAATTTGTTATAATTCCTCCCCTCCCCCAAGATGGCATCCTTTATTTTCAGAAAAGTAGTCATACACATTTTGGAGGCGCAGCATACAACCAATCACTTTTCTTCCTTAAATCTAGAAAAATAAGCTAATTAATTGAGCAGATGCTCAACAGCAATTACATTTTGCAACAACATATTTATTCATACAGCTTCCATATTATTTCTCAAAATGAAATGAATAAAGCTTAAAATGTTCATCACAGCATACGCAATCACTAGCAAAACATAATTTCTTATTTTCAACACTGGATATTAATCAGCTCTTTTCTCAAAGCCAACAGTTTTACATTTGAATATATGGTCCCACTGTACTTCTACCAGTGTCACATACAGCTATGTATCACAAAAGTTATGTTTCCAAAAGTATTGCTTCAAACAGCATTAAGAAGTATAATGATATAGATCAGCACTGTCATCCATAAACACGAAGTTGTTCTCTCTGAAGTCCTGAGCGTACTGTTTTATTTTGGTATAAAAATTGGGCTCGAGTACCATTCTACACACGTGAGAGACAGAACCCATGGAACAAAAAAGGAAAGAACTAACAGATTCCCAAAGCCTTACAGCACACAATGACCATATGTGCTCTTCTAAGAAAACTTCAGGTGAGAGATTTCCACAGGGAATGAAGTAACATAACACTGATTTCACAAATGAACTAAGATTAAAGAAATATATATACGGGCCCTAAACAACTGCATCAGATTTCATTTCTTCACAAATCACAATGATCAGTTGCCCCAAGATGCAAAAGAGTTCCTATATGGCTTAAAACCACAGAAAAGTAGGTTATGAACTATTTCACTCACACTCAACCAGTTATTCTCCAAACAGCAGAAGGACACAGAGCAAAGATCCACAGACAAAAGTCTCCTAAATACTTAATATATGAGAAGACATGGAAATAAGTATCACAAAGAAACAAGACAAAACCAACAGGAATATACACACACACACACACACAAAAAAACACACCAGAAGAACTACGCAAATCTCAATATATACTGTTTTGTTTTCTTATTTTCTTTTTACTCACCTATGTCCTGTTAAGCTCTCCCAAAAAGTAATTGTTCCATCAGTTCCACAAGTCATTACCCACGTGTGGGAGACTCCTTTTGCTTTTGTTCCTACACATACAAAGGCTTCCAATCCATAGCCAAGAAGAAGACTGCACAGAAGGTTAGCATGATCTTCACAGTCACCCTAGATAGTAAATGTTTGTAAGTTGGTTTGACTATCAGGCATAGCTAAAAACATTGAAAAAATATATAGTATTTCTCCAGTTGTTGTCTAACAAGTCATGTCTCCCTCCTGTTTACCTAACGCACGCATCAGAAGCCAGGACTTTAAGGTTTACAGACTTAAGAATCTTGAACTCCATTTTTTATATGCACTGTATCAAAGTATATCCAAGACTGTAAAAAGAGTACAGCAGAAAAATAAGATCTATGCACATACTATAGAAACGCAAGCCCAAACCAGGACCTATCCATCTACTAGACTAACATTCTAATTAAACTTCCAAAGATATGGTAGTCAAACATTACCTGAGGTAATATTAGGCATCATAAGTTAGAAAACTTAGCCACTAAATGAAATATAGAGCTTCTGTAATTTTACTGCCTTGAGTGTACCGTCAACATTGAGAAAAATATTGTAATGCTATAACAGGATGATAATAGCAGGATGGCAAAGTCCTTAGCTACAGCAAATGAAAACGAGCTCAAATGCAGCTGCCACTGATACTGAAATGAAGGAAAAGAGCTGCTTACCTTTGGAAGGCCTCAGGTTCCAACAAGAGAAACCCTTGCCTTCACTGCCAACCCTTAAATGAGGTCTGGGAAGGATTCTGGCTCCACCCCTTCCAGTCACTCAGGTGCACTACATGCACCTGAGCTCCCCTGGGTTGGCCCTGCCTTCCCACCTGGTGCTCAATCACTGGTTCAGGCCATAACATTGCATTTTAACTACAAATATAAAACAGGATCTCTCTAAGCAGCTGAAAGTCATGTCTCACTGCATTTCCTGTCAACCAGAACAAAGTTTCTTCATACTAAGAAATTGGTAGCAATGAACTGATGATGTCTAATTTTTCCTCTTACATGCCTTACAAAATGTTAGCTGTAAAAGCAGAAAACAATTTCACATGCAACAAAGCCTCCCTAATACAAATCACAGCATTCATTAGATAAATAGCATAATCTTCTTCTAACATAATCTACAAAGGAAGTATTGAGATAAGTACATTTAAACAAGTTTCTGGCGAATACATTAATTTAATAGAATGTCATGGTTTTGGACAGAATGGAGTTAACATTCCTCATAGAGGCTCATATAGTGGCTCATGTAGTGCTGTGTTTGGGATTTGTTATGAGAACAATGCTGATAACACACCATTTCAGGTGTTGCAGAGCAGTGTTTACAGAGCCAAGAATATTTCAGCTCTTCATGCTGCCCTGCCAGCAAGGAGCTGTGGGGCACAAGGAGCTGAGAGGACAGAAACAGGACAGCTGACCCAGACTGCCCAAAGGATGTCCCATGCCACAAGGCATAGTGTTCAGCAATAAAAGCTGGGGTGAAGAAGGAGGAAAAGGGGATGTTTGTGGTGATGGCTTTTTTTATTTCCTTAAGGAACCATTACACATGATGAGACTAGCCTTCCTGGAGGTGGCTGAACATGTGTGTGCTGAGGGAAAGTAGTAAACAAACTCCTTGCCCTGCTTTGCTTGCATGTGCACCCCCATTTTATAAACACATTACTGAGATTTTGAGTATCTCAGTCGTGATGAAAAGCACCAATTACTCCAAATAAGCATTAAAAGGGATCAGTATTACTTTAATGAATTCAACATAAAAATACTAATCCAGAATGAGTGTGATTTGTTTCATTTATCATAGTCATATGATACAAAACTTGAACTAGGTGGAAACTTTTAGTGAAAAACCCTATCTTGCATAAACTGAATGCAAAGACTTACATCAATACATTTTAGCACCATCTACAAAATTGGTTTTTCCAAAAAAGCTCTTCCTCAATCAGTACAGAATTAAGCATCGATTCACTGAATAGCCACATAGGATCTTAGAGAAGCAAGCGAAGCAACTTCAATGTCCAATGGATGCATTGAAAAATGGATTCCAACAACAGCAGTGAAGAAAGTTGACTCCACAGAATCACCAAGGTTGGAAAAAACCTACAAGATCATCCAGTCCAACCATCCACCTATCACCAATAGTTCTCACTAAACCATGTCCCTCAACACAACGTCCAAAAGCCCTCGTCTAATATTTAACATCCGTCTCTATTTTGAAAGATCTTAAAAAAGCTACTTGCATCTAAGCGTTCTCTGAAATGGATTTAGTCCACGTTTTGCAACCTGTTTTAAATTACTAATTTCATGCCAATTATAAAGGTGTCATGCAAAGACTGTATTTACATACCTTGTTTCTACATATAAACGCAAGAAGTGTGCACCACTGTTCTTGTTTGCCACCACCTCCTCCAATGACAGGAGCTCTTTCATAACCTAGGACACTGACAAATCGTGCTGCTTGTCTAGGTGTGTCTAGCAACCGGCCCGCTCGAAGTGGTCTGATATATGAACATACTGGACGGTTTACTCCATTTTCATCCTGAATATGGGGGGAAAAAAAATAGTACTGTTAAAACTTCCAGAAACAATATCCATAGCTATTGTTAGACCTCACTGAAGCCTTCATCCTGGCTGTGCCAGGTGTGTTCAGCAGTGAGATGAACCCACCACACCCTTACATGGAAGTTAACACTACTCCTGAACACAGCTGGTGCAGAAAGAAGACCTTACTCCCCTGAAGACAAACAGTAGGTGTGGATTGCTTCCGAAAGTTATTTCATCATCTGTGCCAGGAAAATTACTACTCTACAAGTTAAATTCATATATTATCATGATAACCACAAAATATCTTAACCACTCCTACTACTGAGGAGCAGTCACCAAGGAAGAACTGATGCACAGTAACTTACTAGCCAATGATTTAGTCTGTAGCTACCATGCAACATTCACCAGCCAGATTACTTTATTGACCACAGAGTGCTCAAATATTGTGTGGATCTGCTCCAATATATCCAGTAACTCAACTATTTATTATGGTATAAAACTTGTTTGCAATAATTTATATAGATCACTTAAGCATTTGCCATTTGTAGTTATTCAAGGAAAAAACTAAAATGGCTTAGCTACCTCCTACACCAGGGGTGCTTGGAGCAGCCTTTCTTTATGAATCACGCTCTTCAGCTTCAGTATACATAGTTCAATTCTTGAAAACTTCATTTTCAGCATGCTATGTCACATGTAGCCCTGACTGGAATGTAACCAGATCATAAATCTATACAGATTCTACATACGCAAACTTCAAAAACATATCTAAGATTAAAAAAATAACTTGAAGAACAGATTGGTGTATTTGTAAAAAGTACAAACCTGTGCAAAAATCTTTACCAGCCTTGAGTTGTGCGTAGGCCTAATCTGCAGGTATTCTCTCCACCACTGTTTAGCATACACAAGAAATAAACGTTCTTTTTCCGCTATCTTCTGACGTTCCAAAGTGAACTACAGGTAGGAAAATAAACATAACCATTCACATACACACTAATTCTAAACAAGAACAAAAAACGTAATCAATATACATACTAGCACATGATCCTTGTATATGTAAAATGAAGTTTAATATGACAGCACGCAACCAGTGCTAAAGAACAGTATTTTTAAATGAAAATCCAATGAAACTCTATATACATTTCTTGTTTCTAGGCTCATATATCAAGCTTGACTGAAGAGGTGTTCATCTTCAGTGATGCATGTCTGCACAGAAGGATTACTCAGCTTGCAATGCATGGAATAATATCTGTAAGCACCTTCAGGCCAACACCAGCTTATCAAGCAGAATAGCTGACCACTGAAATTATTTTTTCAAATGGGAAAAGAGAGCAAGGAAACATATACAATACACTTAACATCCTTCAGATAGTACCTTACTTATTGCACTTCCTAAAATTTTGATATAAGTAATCAACAAAAATAAACACAGTAAAATTTCAAGTGAAGTAATAATCGGTATAAACAAAGTAGTTAAAAACAAGATAACTGCATTTAAACTGAGTGGGGAAAAAAACACATTCAAAAACCCACAGCTCCTTACATCTACATAAGTAATTGTATAGTGAGCATTTCCCCTGCTAATAAAAGAATAGGTCACCCTCTCACCCCCAGGATATTACTTACCTGAGTGTTTGTTATTTCTGGAGACAGCGTCTTACTAAGCGGTGGATACATTTCAAGTCTGATGTTCAAAACGCCGACAGAAACCTTTGATTCTGTACCTTTGAACCAAAATACATTCCTATCAGTCCTTTCAAATTCATTTTACTCAGAACTTCAGCACGGCAGGAATAATAGTTTTAATCATACAATCACACACACACAAAAAAACAAAAAAACAAAAAACCTAAACTTCTCTAAATATGCAAAACATAAAGATCTTCACTTAAATTTTCAACTCAAGAATGACTGAAAAGATAACCTGCCTGAAGAAGCTGGTAACTGGATCTGAGCTCTAAAGGCTTCTTTCCAGGCAATATCAGAACATACAAGATTAATGCTGTTCTGTAAATGCTAGAATAGACACCTACAAATAGATTGGAAGAGCCACAGTGTGAAAGTGCCCATTCTTACTGACTGTACAACTCACTGCTCAAATTAATGTGGTCAGAGCAGAGTGAAGCTCATTTTACCCAACATATAGCTTATTATGGAAGACCTGAGAAGCCATGCAAATAATCATATTCTATATTTATTTATTTATAAAGTAATCTAATGCTGTTGCATATTGCTCAACCATTCTGAACTCCACAAAAAGAATAAATTACAAAAGTGATATGGAATGATAAACAAACAATCCAAGCAGAAACATCACATAGTAGCTTGTTTATTTGAGATAGCAGCATGCTTTTTGATGCTCTTGATGAATTTTATACAGTGTCTAGAATTTAGAAAAGGAGAAAAAGCACCTGAATATCTAAATTTATACCTTATTACTCTGGAAAAAAAAAAAAAAGTTAACAGTAAATAAATTAGAACATTGGATTAGAACTCCTCCCATCACCCATGTAAGCATTAAACAAGTTATTACAAATAAACACCTCTGTACCTAAGAGTCTATAAAAAGTCATATCGCTTTGTAAAGTTTTTATTCTGGCAATGCTGATTGTTGGCAAATGATGCCAACATATTAGTAAATAAACATACTACATTCATGTTCACTGAAAAAGAAAAGCATGCAATAATAATGAAAATTAATAACAATTTAAATAGTACATTTGATCTTAAAAATATTTTGAAGATAGAGTTTAATCTCCATTGGAATTAACAAGGGCCTGTTAGCATATCCAGCAGGTAGAGACTGTGACAATGCATGTTCAAATGATTCAACTACGATTTGACAGAACACCAGGGTAAGAAGTCAAGATACAACATGACAGTGCTAGATCTAGACTTAAAATTGTTTTATCCCAAATACTTAGAACAGTCAAAAAGGGTGGCGGTGACAAATGACACAGAAAAATACAGAGGTATATCAACAGTTCAGCACCTAAATAAAGCCACTCAACCCTTCTATAAGAAAACACACTTCCAGCTACTGGAATGCATGACAGCACAGCAGAGATCACTTTCTCCAACAACTGCTACAGAGGACAAGCTAGATTTTACACTTGAGAGCACTGACATGATATTTTTCCTGGAGTTGCATTTGTTGATTTATGTTATTGTTTGTTTGATAGTTTACATGGTGGAGATAACAGAGGCTCCCAGATGCAGGGAGCATTATTGCACAGGATCTGGACACATATTCTTAACAATTTGATAAGACAAAAATCTGACCATCAGTCTCTTACATAAACTCTTCTTCAGGATACCTTAAAGTAATTCATGAGTTGAACTGAAATCAAACCAAACCATAAATACTACTCTAAGCTTATAAGCAAACTTAGTACACACACATTTTAATCCATCATTAAACACTTGTTATTTATTCTTACCTACACCCAGGAGTTCAACAGCAATATTTGTGATGCCGTTCTCTGCAGCTAAGACAGATCGCCACTCCAAGAAATAGGATGCTACCAGCGTAGTCTCCCCAAACGTGTCTGTTCTGATCAGAACCATATGCACGGGATCACATACAGATAACATAGTGGTTGCATCCACCATTTTACTCCCATCACCTGCCGTAATTAAACCAATATTAAACAGCCAGAATATTATCACCCCAAGTCCTCCTTAAAATAATACTATTTTTAAAGTATGACTACATAAGAATAACTACATATATTCTCTTGAAAACATGGAATGCTTCAGGTCTATTTACTGTATACCAGTATTGATTCCAGGATTCTTCCTGTAACATTCATCTGTCAACACATTTCCCAGCTTCCAACAGCAGAAAGGTGTTTGATGACTGACTGTACCACAGGTATCTGCCAACTCATAGCAAACTGAGCTCCAAGTAAAGTTTTTCCTTCTGCATGGTGGCAAATTTCTATCTACCTTCACAAGAATGTTCAAGGTTGGAAGGGACCTCTGGAGATCAGCTGACCCAACCCCCTGCTCTAGAAGGGTGTCCCTTCTCAAGCAGGGTGCCCAGGACTATGCCACTTACTTCAGAGTGGAAAAGACAAGGTAAGAACAGAGAAAGATCTAGAAGTGAAACCTGATATAGTTATCAATTTCCCTACAAAAATATAATAATAAATAGGAAAGAAACATGCTAAATAATGTCAGACCTATTTTGGAATAACTATAAAGTCAAAAATAAATCCAATGAAACAAAACAAAAGAAACAACATAGCATCAGCTTTAAATTCATGATGTTCCTTACCTAGGCTCTCCTTGTGAACTTCAAGTAAAAAACCATCATGGAAATCAGGCTCACAAGCACAGGGAACAGGTTTAGTACGGAAACGCTGATTTCGGAAATGTAGACACAGAGTAAAAGTAGAACAGATTTGGCCAGGCAGAGGATCTGGTTCCTGAAGATGTTCCAGAAAAGCTTTTCCACCCAGAACCTGAAGGTAAAGATACCTTCGTGTTGGGTCAATGTTAGCTGTAAAGCGTAGCAACAAAAATGAAGAGACTACAAACAAATCCCAGGAAGCATGTTAAACATCAGCTGACTAACAGGAGAATAGAAATAAAAAGAAATAATAAAGGTTTTGAAAATATATCCCTAGGAGAAAGTGATTTTAAAATACACGGAAGCTGTCTTAATGTAAAACAAATGAAACATTACTATCACATAAAGCTTGAATTTGTGTCAGTCACACAAACTTACATCCTTTAGATAAGCAGGGAAGACATCTTTTTCTCCTCTTTGGAGGCTTTAAATGAATCCAGTTCATATTGGATTATTAATTCCGAGCTTAATAATCCTACATTTGACATTTCTATTGAAACTACAATCCAGAAATATTAAAACAAACAAGCAACATACTTTTTTTCAAAACTGGTGGTTCTCTATCAGCAAAATGTGTTGATGGTTTTGGAGATGAAGTCCTCTCCTTTCCATTCACATCCTGGAATCACAATAAAGAATTTTTAAGATGTTAAGTGAGGCAACAGCACTCTTCCCATAATCTTATAAAATTTAAAGATTCTCCTTTCCAATCAAATGTTATTCCTCTTGTACGTGAGACTTAACAAAAACTGAGTAAACACTGACAGTGTAGTGTTACCACTACACCAAATCTAGCACACACAGTTTGGTCCCAAAAAAAACACAAGTTGCTACAGCCTTTTTTGAACCACTAGAAATAGTACATAAAGGAAGTCTATAAGAGAATGGGAGAAGTACACTTTGTCAGAGAGCGTAGACATAGGACAAGGGGCAATGGCTTTAAACTGAAATATGATGGATTTAGATGGGATAGAAGGAAGAATTTTTTTTCAGAGGGTAGTGAGGCGCTGGCACAGCTGCCCAGAGAAGCTGTGGTGCCCCATCCCTGCAGGCGCTCAAGGCCAGGATGGACGGGGCCCTGGGCAGCTGAGCTGCTGGGGGGAAGCCCTGCCCACAGCACGGAGGTTGGTCCCCTTCAACCTAAGCAGTTCTGTGATTCTATGCTTTTCATGGGCTAGAGCTTGGACAAGACACCACATCAGTAAGAGGAATAAGCAAAGTATTTTCACTCTTTAAAAGGTTCTCACAGTGACAAATTTAAGTTCTTTCATAACGTCGTCGATGATTCCTCGTTGTCTTAAGGCTTTTATCAGATCTTCCATGGAGAGCTGCTGATGCTCAGGTGCCAGCTCCTCACGTATCGTCTCCGCCAGAACTTCTCGGATCCTGCCATGGACGTCCATCTGAAAGAGAACTCCTTACATGCTACAGAGAGAAGCTCCTGACAGCAGCTGTACCTAAAGCAGCAATCTGTAGGACTGCCAGTACTTTCTGCACACAGTGCCCATGAGCTCTTGGATTAAATAGGAACCAGTCGAGGAAGTCACACCGCCTCCCCAAAGCAGCCCTACCAATTAAAAGCGTTGTGCACACGATGAACCTGAACGCATTAAACCCCTTCCTCACGAACACCTGCAAATCCACGCGCTTCCCGTTTGACTTTTGAGGGAGACAAAGAAATAAAAACTTCGAATGACCGCTTCTTAGTTCTCTAAGGCACAAAAGCAGGCAATGCCCATTTCCTCCCCCCCTCAGCGCCACACTAACGAGGAGGCAAAACGCCGGCCGGGACACAGCTCACCTTTTGCAGCTGCTGCTGGATGAGCCGCTTCAGCTCCGAACCCTTTCCGGGCGGCAGCGCCATGGCGGCGGGCGGCAGCGGGGCCGCGGGCGGAGCTCCGCCCCAACGGCCGCGACGCGAGGAGGGCGGGGCGGGGAGGGAAGCGGGCGGAGCCGCGCCGTGCGGCGTCCATCTCCGAGCGCGGCCTTGCCGGCATGTTCGTGCCTTGCGATGGCGGCGGCCCCGATTTCGAGGGCTTCACGCTACTCATGGTGAGTGGTTGCCGGGACCCGCCCGCGGTGCTGGGGGGGGGACGGAGGTCGGGGGGCTGCGGTCTGAGCGCCTCCAGGGATGGGGGGCAGCTCTGTGGGCAGCCGAGCCAACGCCTCACCGCCGGAATCTTCCTTGTCCCGTCCCTGCAGGCAGCGCAGCACCGCGCAGCCCCCGGCTCACGTACGCCTCCAGGGGGCGAGAGAGAAGAAAGGTAAAACGTGCGTGCCGATAACAGGGCACAAAAGGGAAAATAATGACGAGAGAAGAACGTGCAGAAGTGAAGCACGCTGCAATTGCTCACCACCTTCTGACCCAGTCCACAGCCAACCTTCCCCCCCCCTCCCCAGTTCTGTTGCCGAGCGCCTCGCCACATGGCGTGGGATGGGACGTCCCCTGGGCCGCTGTGGCTCTGCTGCCCCGGTTCTGCCCCCTCCCAGCTCCTTGGACCCCCAGCCCCATGCTGGCAGGGCAGCACGAGGAGCCGAGATGGCCTTGGCTTTGTGAGCGCTGCTCTGCAGCAGCCATAACAGCAGTGTGGTGTCAGCGCTGTTCTCATCCGAGGGGCAGAACGCAGTGCTACTATTGGGGATTTAGCTCCGTCCCAGCTGAGACCAGGGCAGAGCATATTGCTCAAGCTGAAGCTTGTAGTTGAATGTGTAATATCGACGTTACCATTAGGTGTCACTTGAGGTCTGCCAATCTCTGCATTTGTTTTTAGAGTGACTTTTTTACCACTTCTGCATTCCCCCTCCCCGCCCTCAAAAAAAGAGGGGTGGAAGAAGACAAGTTTCAAAACTTTGTTCAAGTTTACAGTGAGAGACAGGGTTATTTACAGAAGTGGCCAGTGTGATTTTGGGTGACCAACCTAAGGGATAGCCATCTTTGCCTGAAAATGAGCTGTCACTTAAAGAAATCACCTTTAGTCAGAAATGAAATATCTTGAACCTTCGCTGTTTGGAGAACGTATTTTCTGTAAAACACGTTGTAATCCATTGATTTCTGTTACTTCAGCCAGCGGTGTCGGTGGGAAACGTTGGCCAGCTGGCAGTAGATCTAGTGATCTCCACACTTTGCATGCCTAAAGTGGGCTACTTCTACACCGATTGCCTGGTGCCGATGGTGGGGAATAATCCTTATGCAACAACAAAAGAGAACTCAGTGGAGCTGAGCATAAATGCTGAAGGTGTGTACTGAATGCTTAGGGTATTTGCAAGATGCATGCAGTGCAAAGAAGGTTGCATTTACTTTTTTTGTTGTTACATTTTGGTTATGGGAGCTATGTTTAAACTAAAGTCCATAATAACAGCTTCAATAACTAAGTCTCTGTCTTAGGAATAAGAATGTGTTTAGACTTGCAGAGGAAACTCTTAGGCCTTACTTTTTTTGATAACCAGTTTGACATATAGAACCAGTAAGAAATGCTGACTCACAACGTTGCAATGCAGCCAAAACTCCCAACAGTTTTAATCCTAAGCAACAAGAAGTGTGCACATAGTTCAGGTGCAGGAATGCAAGCTGCATTCTGGTGCAGAAGGGTGTTTCTCCCTCCTTGCCTATGTTTGTATTTTCCCCTTTATTCCTCCCCCTTAAATTCACTGGGTTTTGCCCCATCTCAGTCATAGCGTTTCTTTCCTTTCTTTTTTCTTCCTTTTTTTTTGCTCTTAAATCATAGAAATTTCAAAATAATCTGTCAGAATCGTTGTAAAGCTGCACAAAAGAATTTCCTGAATCATCATAAGAGACAGATCTTCTTATGTTCTGTTTCATTCAATCTTTTGAATCTGTGAGAAGTGAAATTAAGTTCCAGTGAAGACATTGCACAAAAATAGGTATTTATTTTTAACAGCAATCGGGTTTTCCAGTAGTTGGATTTGATAACTGAAAGGTTATCCTCAGGTTTGTAAAGCAGATAAGTCTGTATACTTCTAAGTCCAGATTTCCTTTTTTGTTAAAAAGCTTCATTATTTCTCCTTGTAGTGTATTCATTGCCTTCAAAGAAACTTGTAGTTCTGCAGATCAGATCACCTTTTATAAAGGTACGTGCATCCATTGATTCTTCTGAGCTCATTTGCCAGTAGTTGCAGTTCTGTGGGCAGATGGTTCATGGGTCAATTTTACAAAATGACTCAAACCAAAGAAGCACAACTAGAAGTAGTCTGCCAGGCTAGAAAACGTTTTCTTAAAACAGACCAAAATCTAGCAAAACATTTTTCTCCTCAGTGCTGTGACACTTTCTGTAATGAATACAGCTTTGTCTCAAAGCTGATTTCAGCACTCTCTGAGGGCTGAGGTTTAGTTTTGTTTTTCCAAACCCCAGAACAACTCAGCTGTATTGTTAGATCTTACTGTTAACAAGTCCTTAGTTATTAATAGTCTCGAACAAAACACAAAATGTTCTGAGTTTTGTCCATTTCTCTTTTCTTCATACAGTTCTTGCCTTTGTGTATGTATCTTGTATTGTAATGGCTTAATTTTTGACATTGCTTTTTGGCAAAATATGGAAGAATATGATGTGATTTAAACATTATTCTAAAGCTTTTTCCTCTGGCACTTATGGCACTTATGTTGTTAGTTGTGTGCTCTTAATAAATGTAATCATTATGTGTATAGCTTTAATCAGATAAATTGCCAGTCTTCTGCTTTTTGAAACTAAAAGTGAACCTGTGAGCTTAATGGATGTGAAGAAAAAATCTCTACAAAGATGAGCATTAAATACAACATCTCTTTTGGTATTTTTTTTATCAACGCAAAACATTTTTATTTCATTTTCTTCTGTCTTTGCATAAAGAACAAGTACAGGCCATTCTGTCAAACACTGCTTTCTTGGGTGGAAAGCAGCAAATGTGCCAGAGTCATTCTTCTGTCCAGCAGCCACGCATACCAGCGCGATGACGAACAGCTCCTCGGGTATGTTTGTGTCCTTAAAAGATCTATTTAATGTTTATGTTCTTTTTGGCAGTCTGACTTTTTTCCCTCTTTTTGTAGTACTTTTCATTACTTTGCTTTGCTGTGTAGATAGGACATCTTGTTTTAATAACGTATGAAATGTTTCATGTTACACAGCGCTGGTCTCTGAACTTACTCCTGTTGGAAGTCCAGAGCAAATAATACGCTGTAAGGACACCGTGCTTGGCCTGCACTGTCAGTCTCAGTTTTAACTTCTGTATTTCTTCCTGTCAAGGACCACCAGCTGCTCAAGGTCACAGATCAGATATCTAAGATTTAGTAGAATATTAGTTAGTCTCCTAACCTTTCACTGATTATTCTGCATGTTGAGGATTTTCAGTATATGGCAAGATCTCCAGGCTGTATCCATGTGTAGAGCCTTAAAGGAGGCTTAGGTCTATGTGCATCCCAGATAGAGTTCCCAGTGCTGTTTGTATGCAGTCTAAAGAACGGCCAGCTAAGATGGAGAGAAGTGGGAAGGAGTGATACTCATTTTGCACATTCTGAGTCATAAGTTGTACCCGTTTCACCTTTGTTTGTGAAGGGGAACATGAGCGCCACAACTCTGACACCAGAGTCACTAAAGACTGAGAATAACACATGCAGAAAACAGCTTTTCGAAGCCTGGGGGTAGCTGTAGCGTGAGCCTATTATGAATACTGTGTAACAGTGAAGTCCATACTTACCTTAACATTGAAGTTTCCCATCTGTTCCCATCTGAAGGAAGAAAAGTCACCTTTTATATGTAAATGATTTTAGCAGCAAAAGTTCTCCTACTTATGTGCTTATGTGCTATTTGCCAGTTACAAAAGCATCTAAAAAGGATAACTTAATATTTGTGGCAGAAAATTGTGTATATTGTCCTGAAGCCACTGAATACTTGTAGACTTTGGCTTGGAGAAGAAGGGAGTATTGCAATTCTTTGTTGCAGGCTAGAGGTCCTCAATGCTTGCAGCTTCTTTCTTCACAAATAATAACTTCAGTGCTGTCTTTTATTGTCAGACTGAATACATTCTTGATTTGTTCCTAGGACACCGCTGCGCTACCTGCTTACACCAGCTCTTGAGAAAGCAATTGAAGGCCATATGCAGGAGCTGAAATGGAAAGAAATGGAAAAAGTAGCAGCTTATCCTGGAATAAGTGATACAGAAAAAGTTCTACATATTCCTGGAGGAGGCATCACAAAATTGTTGTTTACTGAGAGGTGAGTTGTATGGAGATAAATGTATAAAGGATATCAGGTTTCCTATCAGAGCACGTGGAGGTGTTCAGGGCCAGGTTGGATGGAGCCCTGAGCAACCTGATCTAGTACCAGATATGGAGGTTGGTGGCCCTGCATGCAGCAGGGAGGTCGGAACTTGATGATCCTTGAGTCCCTTCCAGCCCAAGCCATTCTGTGACTCTAATGCATGAGTAAAATTATTATGGATTAGTTGTGGATCTTTACTGTTGTTAAAAAGTGCACATTAGGAATTATGGCAAAAGCATGTCAGGTGGCAAACTTTAGCTAGCAAAGCTCAATCACTGCACTAAACATATCAGTTCTGCAAAAGGGATTTGTTTTATAAGTGCAAGGTGGAAAATTAGCTTTTGGGTTTTTGGTTTTTCGTGTGTGCGTGGTTTGTTGTTTTTTTCCTTAACTATTGCTTTTGTCACCCATCCAAACTGCTATCTCCAGCAGCAGGAGTTCCTAATATCGTGCTTAGCGTTCTGCTGACTCCAGCTATGGAAACAGTGCATAAATGCAAAAGCTCAGACCTCCCAGGACTGCAGAAATCAAAGTAAACTAAACCAAAAACACACAAAAACTTCATGCCTAAATGAATAAAACATGACAATGCTAAGAGAAACTGAACTTTAAAGATAAAAAATATTAAAGTTGTTGTAGCACATACATCGTAGGACT